GACATCATCCAAAGCTGCTATTCAAACGGTGCCAGCAACTGACCACTCACATCCTCTCTGTCTTACAGGGTTTATTTTGTACAAGTGTGTTTTATAAAAGCTTTCAGTATGTGGTGTAAAATGATTGCTGTTCTTTGGTGCATGCAGTTTATTCCACCAAATGATCTCCAGAGCAAAAAACATCAGATGAATTACTGAATTTGGGTGGATCGGTGGATGGATGGATGGATGGATGGATGGATGGATGGATGGATGGATGGAAAGCCGTATCTTATTTGGAGCCACTGAAATCAGGACGAGCTGCTTACAAACCAGCTCTCATCCTGGGCCAGAACAGATCGTGGACAGTTATTTTAAGTGAGGGGCGGATAACTTGAAGGGGAACTCCACCAGTTTTTCAAGATTGCTGCCTAATTAAGTGGTTAAGATGTAAACAGAGTCATTCAGTGTGGTTTGATGTGAAAAGCCCAAACAAAATTTGATTATTTTCAGATTTTCCACTATTTTCCATCATCAACATTATATAGAACTGGTGGTTCTGGATAGTAAATAAAATATCTATATTTGTGTTGTAGTCATGGCGACCCCTGGTTCCTATCACCACCACTGTAAAGACATCTGAACAATTTCACACCAAACCACTCTAAATCACTCTGTTTACATCTCACACACTGAATTTTACAGAATATTTTGGTGGAATTCCCCTTTAAGTACCCTTTACATATATTCTTGTGGCTGTTAATAGTACTATTTCTTAAAAAAGTGTCTCAATATCGTAGAATTAAATGAATTAACAGATCAAAACAATAACCAGAAGTGGCTAATCATGAGGTAGAGAATAAAAGGAACCATTAAAGACTGCATTAAAGTTTGTTTACAGCCTTCAGGGTCAGCGCTAGGTCACTTCAGCTTTGTACATAATCCAAAATTATGGTAATAATCTGTCATGGGTGGCTTAAAGTTCCAGAAAACACTTAACACGCTTAGGTATTCATGTCCCAGAAGTCTGAAATGAAGGTTAGTAGTGAGTCTGTGCTGCAGTAACAGCCTCTACTCTTCTGGGAAGCCTTTACACTAGATGTTGAACATTACTGTGAGGATTTGATTGAGCATTAGTGAGGTCAGGTACTGATGTTGGATGGTCAGTTCTGGGTCACTCCAACTCATCCTAAAGGTATTGGATGGAGCTCCATCACTCCAGAGAACGCAGCTCCACTGCCCCACAGCCCAGTGCTGGGGGGCTTTAGACCCCTCTAGTTGGGCATGGTGACCTTTGGCTATTGGTCAGTGCTTTTCTGTGGAGATTATGCAAGCTGTCTCAGCAATGGGTGACCTTAAAGCAGCTGAATTAGAAAGGCAGTCTTGGACTTACTGGGTGTTAAGGTTGATTGTTCAATGCTCAGCTGAGTTTTATGACTGGCTTTACACAATTGCTGTATTTAGTACATTGGCGCCCCCTTGTGGTGGCATAAATATCAGCTCCCATGACCTACTTACTCTACATGGATACATAATTAAATGTTTTTTTTAAACTCTGTTTCTATGGTCCAGTATTTTGGTAGGCTTTCTAAGAATAGCACCATTTTACAAAGTGTGCAGGAAAATATCCATAAAAATATGAGAGCATCATTTCTGCAAACCTGTAAGCAGCCAGTTGAAATCTCAGCCCAGCACAAACTGTCACGAAATGGGGGAAACAATATTTGTATAAAGCCTTTGTTGCAGACATTAGATGTTACTGCTGAAGCAATCACGCGCATCGAGCTTTCAGACTCTGTAAAGTGTCAATATATTTGCTTTGTGATTTGATATGTGGCGTAAAATAAATTATTTATGTTGAAATAAACCACGTCTGTGTGATCTGGTGAATCTCTGACCACGTGACGACTCTTAAAAGAGGTTCTTGGCTACAGATGCCTGCATCACTCTGGGTTTGCATCTTTGAGGATAACTGAATAATATGATTTTAACAAACAATAGGAAAATTCTGACTCACTCAGCCAGCGAAGGCTTTTCTTTATGCAGTAAACTGGATATCTATCGTTGTATGAAAATGACAGAAATATTGTAGCCAGTGGTGATTCACTATGCAAAGAACCATTTAATAGTGCTTAATAGACTCCAAGTCAAGACCAAGACTTTCGGTGGTCGAGTCCGAGTCAAGACCGAGAATTTTTTCAGGAAAAAATGTAGTTAATTGTACATTTATTACCATTACTGATACATTATATACAATAATACATGACATTATTATATTGTATTATTTTGTGAAATATATGATTAAATATATAGCCTAAAACATAGGCTACATTGTCCGTTACGTATTACAGTAACAATGACTGTTGTAGAAGTTACTGATGTTACAGGGTCACATAAAATAGGGAAATAAAATAGGAAATAATACAGCAATAATGATACATCAATGATGGTTTATCAACAGCTTTGTAAACAATGTACTATGAACAGTAAACTACAGCTCTCAGTAACATTATTATTCTTTAGATGGTAGTAACTTTTTCTTAAATGGTGCCTGAGTGGCCTGATTTACCAGAATTTAACCGCTGCAGAGAACTTGTAAGTTAGAGAGGAGAATTACCACTGTGTAATGTCTTCCGGGTTTCCGTAACGCTAGAGGGCGCTCTGCAGCAAGCATTGGAGCAAAATCATAGTTTATAAATGTTTCAACATTTTTAATATAAAAAAAATCGTTCATTTTCCGAACAAAGAACAGCATAGCACTGCAGTTAGATTTTTAAGAGCTTTTAAGCACGAGTTACAAGAGTTTAAAATGATGCCTAATGTACGTTCATGACGTCATGACGCCAATGAGCTGCTCCACTCACCAACCAATCGGCACTCAGTAGCAGTAATAGTCCACTGTAGTCGTGCGTCATTCTGTAGTCCTCGTTATGCCCATATTAGGAACTCCGGGTCTGAGCTCCATTTCTCTATGGTCAGAATGAATAGGGTTTTCGAAAAATCGCCTCTAGCGCCCCCTGTGTTAAATAAAAATGTTCAGAACCCGATACGTTCTGTCCTGTGAACATTCTTCTCCTGAATATCACTGGATCCTCTGAATTATGAGGTCATGAAGAGCTAAAATACTAATATTGCTACATGCGAGCTAAAGCTACTGCGCATCAATTCGATGTCACTAAGCTACACTAAGCTAAGGCGGGCTGTGGCGGTGCTCTGACGAGCTGTGCTACCTTATCAAAATGTTCTACCGTAGCGCATTTTTACAGGTATGCCCATAAATAAAACCTCTGGGTGGGATATTTTGAGGCTAAAACTCCTTATCAAAAATACTACCAGCATTAAAACTACGAGGCTGAATTTAGTTTCTTTTTTCGCAGCTTCGTGTTTGAATGTTCCCGTTCCACCTTAAATGGTGCAGCAGCTGTGATTTGCTGTCACAAGCATTAGCAAAAAAACAAAATACTGAGCTGTCAGTTCTGTGGAACAGCAAAAATAAGTTAATGTTACTCAGCTGTTAAGCGGAAATAGAAAAACCTCCTCATATCAGGCCTTTCAATCCTCCATGAAGCTGAAGTCAGCTGAGTTTTCTCCGGCTGCTTGTTTCGACTTCAGAACGTGACTGCTGCACCATTTAAGGTGGAACGGGAACAGTCGAGCAAAAAGCTGGGGAATGTCCTCAGAAAAATGTTACCAGCATTAAAATAAAAATTAGGATTTTCCAAGAGTCTAAATCAGTTTATCAGGGGGTGACAACCTGCTTAAGGAGGCTGCCAGTCTACTGACGTGAATTCAGAGCGCAGTAGCTTTAGCTTACATGTAGCGATATTCATATTTCAACTCTTTAACGACCTCGTAATTCAGAGGATCCAGTTATATTCAAGAGAAAAATGTTCACAGGACAAAATGTATCGGGTTCTGAACATTTTTATTTAACACTGGGGGCGCTAGAGGCGATTTTTCGAAAACCCTATTCATTCTGGCCATAGAGAAATCGATCTTAGACCCGGAATTCCTAATATGGGCATAAGAGCATGGCGCGGACTACAAAATGACGACTCGACTACAGTGGTCTATGAGCTGCACTCACCAACCAATCAGCACTCACTATCAGTAAATCTAACCAATCAGCGCTCAGTAGCAGTAACGTTACCATCCTGCTGCCGTTCGCTGAATTAAAAGATCAATTACAGGTGAGTTTTCTTTGCTTTTTTTAGTGACGTACAAACTTCTACTTTCTAAAATAAAAGTAGTCTGTAGGCGAGTGATTAGAAACTATTTTAACTTCTCGTTTTTAGCCGTTGAGCTCAACCCACCCCCATTCACTGGCGCCCTCTGGCGTTCGGCAGTCATGTTTTTGATATAAGGGGGTTTGAACAAACACTACGCTACACTATGTACATAACTTTCGCTCCTAACAGCTATAAATGTATTAAAAACCGAATCAAACGATCACTTGCCAAATCATACGAGCACAACCTGTGACAGAATAAAGGAATTTGTTTTTGTTGTGACCCGTTTTAAACAGAAACTTTAATTGTCGTTTGTTTTCCTGCTCCGCTGCTTCTGTCTGTATCATAGCAACGCGTCTGCGCATGCGTATCAGCGACGCAGATTGAGAGTCTAGCACTGTTTATTCTGGTTTTATTGATATTCAGTAATAATTCAGCTTCTGGTTACCTCAGACTGAGGTAGCGGACTCGGCTGGTGTCTGCAACCATTTCCGAGTCCACCTCACCCCGAGACCGAGACAGTACGGAGTCCAAACGAGGTTCAACGCTCGTTTATGGTCTCAAGGCCAGGACTCGAGTACTACAGCACTAAATTACCACTGAATCATGCAAAGGGTTCTTAGAGTATTTATGGCTCTATATAGAACCATTTTCTTTGCTGAAGAACCATATTTTTTTAAGAGTGCGCAGATTAGAAGTGAAACAGCGCTGGTGTGAATCTAGAACCTGGCCACCCTGATGGAGGTGTGTAGGTTCCTCTGAGTGGTTCAGTCTGCAGACTAGCGTAGAGTTAAAAAGGGCATCTGTCGTGACTGACACAGCAGGAGAGGGTCTCTCTGATCCTGCTGCGGAATCGATATCAAGAGATTTCGGATGCACAATTTTTATAAACCGCGGGCTGCTAATGACCGTCTGTCTTGGCGCCCCAATATTAAATGTATAAAAAAAAGAAATAACACGAGATGGTACAGTGAGTTTAATTCATATGGTGCTTCTTATTAACGCTTTACTGTGCACTCTCAAAATGATGGTTTTTCAGAGTCGTAATGAGGAACAGATCTGTGAGAATCAGCCACTGTTACAGTGAAAACCAGTAACTGCTGTTAGGAGTGGATCAGTGAGAATGAGAGTTAAAACTCATCCCAAGTGTTGGATACAGCTTCTCTCCAGCATGCTATATCTATATATATACTCAATACTGTATCAGTGTATCATTTATACTGCATAATGTATTATATATTGTGTACATCGTACTGTATCTCTATGTCCTGTATACAGCATATTGTATCAGTATATACTGTATACAACATACTGTATCCCTATATGCTGTATACAACATACTGTATCTCTATATGCTGTATACAGCATACTATATCAGTATATACTGTACACAACATACTGTATCTCTATATACTGTATACAGCATACTGTATCAGTATATACTGTATACAACATACTGTATCCCTATATGCTGTATACAACATACTGTATCTCTATATGCTGTATACAGCATACTTTATCAGTATATACTGTACACAACATACTGTATCTCTATATACTGTATACAGCATACTGTATCATTATATACTGTATACAACATACTGTATCCCTATATGCTGTATACAACATACTGTATCTCTATATGCTGTATACAGCATACTATATCAGTATATACTGTACACAACATACTGTATCTCAATATACTGTATACAGCATACTGTATCTCTATATACTGTATACAACATACTGTATCCCTATATACTGTATACAGCATACTATATCAGTATATACTGTATACAACATACTGTATCTCTATATACGGTATACAGCATACTATATCAGTATATACTGTACACAACATACGGTATCTGCACATACTGTATACAACATACTATATCATTATATATTGTATACTGTATCAGCATATACCGTATGCAACATACTGTATCTATATACTGTATACAGCATACTGTGTCTCTATATACAGTATATTGCATCATGTACCAGTATATCCTGTACACTGTATACTGTATTCGGTGTATTCAGTGTTTTTATTTTTCCTCTCTCTGCTGCTCTACTGGCGCCCTCTAGTGGTGGCACAAAAAATTGCTGTAATGACCTACTTGCTCCAGTGTGCTGCGTTAGAGATGGAACCTCATTGTGTTCCTGTTTTTTGTGGTCCAGGTTTTTAGCGGACACTTCACGAGCGTTTCTAACTTATTATCTCACATCTGCTATTTGAACTGTCATTCCAGCATAAATGATGACGCACTGAGGGAGAATATATGTAAACTGGAGACGTCAGAGTCACTGCTGAGGCTAAAACGTGCTTTATTTCAGGATCTGTAAAGCATTAATATCCCTGCTTAGTGATTTGGGATGTGGAGTGAATTATGTATATGGAGATAAACAATTTGTGATTAAAAGTGATTACATGTAAGAAATAAAACGGTATTTCATGAGCATGAGTAGGCCTGCATTAGAGGAGGTCTACAGAATCTAATCACTTTTAACCAGTTTTGTTACATTTTTCATAATAACAGAACACAATTAGACACGAATGGGTTAAAAATGTCATAATGACAACAATAATCTTGTATTTTGACACCCTGTGCCTATAAAACACAGCTGCGGCCGAGTGTTTTTGAACGCAGGGCCGTTTGAGGAGGGGCGCGTTCCTATTGGACGAGCCGCCTGTCAATCACGATGGACGCAACACTCCCGTGATGCTTTGCAGGCGGCAAACGCTGCAATGCGCACTTTTTAAGGCGATTTCGCTCTAATACAGATAAATTCAGGTCCACATAATGATAAACATATAATACATATAACATATTACGTTGTTACCCACGCATTAGAAGTGAAACAGCGCTGCTGTGAATCTAGAACCTGGCCACCCTGATGGAGGTGTGTAGGTTCCTCTGAGTGGTTCAGTCTGCAGATTAGCGTAGAGTTAAAAAGGGCATCTGTCGTGACTGACACAGCAGGAGAGGGTCTCTCTGATCCTGCTGCGGAATCGATATCAAGAGATTTCGGATGCACAATTTTTATAAACCGGGGCTGCTAATGACCGTTTGTCTTGGCGCCCCAATGTAAATATGGGTGAAATATAAGCAAAACATATGACGAAGTTCAAACTACATTATTATTGTAAGTGTCTTAGCATGGTAGGTTCTGGACAATAATGGTTCTTGTGGGACTTTGATTCTATATAGAACCCTAACCACTCACAACACTCCTAGAAAGATTGAAGTGTTCTTCAGATTGGTGGAACATGTCCTGCAGATGGTTCTATGTAACACTGAAAAGGCTTCTGCTATTATAATGATGATTTTACCATGCAAAGAACCTTTTGATCATGCAAAGGGTTCTGTAAGTGTTCATGGTTCTTGGCATCCCAGTAATTGTTTATATAAAAAGAAAAATAACATGCAACATAAGTCATATAGCGCTTCATTTTACTGTGCTCTCGTCGAAGTGGTGGCTCGTCAAGTGTTCCTTAGTGACAAAAATGGTTCTATATAGAACCATGAACATTTAAGGAACCCTTTGCATGATTAAAGAGTTCTTTAGATTGATGGAGAACGTGCTGTAGATGGTTCTATATAGCACCAAAAAGGGTTCTGCTATTGTAATGATGATATAGAACCATATAGAACACATTCTTCATCAATCTGAAGAACGTTTTCACCATGCAAAGAACCCTTTAATCCTGCAAAGGGTTCTTTGAGTTCATGGTTCTATACAGAACCATTTTCTTTATTAAGGAACCCTTGAAGAACCTTTTTTTAAGGGGTAGGGTTCTGTTCATATAGAAAGCTACAGTAACATTAAGACCTGAAAGTGTGTGTTATACGTCATTACTCCTAATTAAGAAGGTTCTTGAAGGGTTCTTTAGTAAAGAAAATGGTTCTACATAGAACCATGAGCACTCAAAGAACTTTCTGCATGATTAAATGGTTCTTTGCATTGTGAAAGTGTTCTTCAGATTGATGGAGAATGTGCTGAATGTGCTTTGGTGGTTCTACATAGTACCCAAATAGGTTCTTCTATGATTACAAGCTTGACATCGTCAAAATAGAAGAACCCGTTTCAAAAAGGTTCTATATAGAACCATCTGCAGCACATTCTCCATCAATCTCAAGAACCCTTTCATGATGCAAAGAACCCTTTCTTTGAGTGTTTAAGGCCCTATATAGAACCATTTTCTTTACTAAAGAACCCTTGAAGAACCACCTTTTTTAAGAAGGTAGAGCTGTTTAGGACTCTTTAACCTGTGTTCTTGTAAAACGACTGCAATTACAGTTGAAGGGGAACTCCACCGATTTTTAAAATTCTAAATAATTAAATAGTTGGGATGTAAAGCCATTCAGAGTGGTTTGGTGTGAAATGCTCTGTTCTAGAGTCAGAATTGTTCACAGTGGTGGTGATAGGAACCAGACGTCCACCTCTAAAAGCTCCCTCACAGAAAGTTACTACAGGAAATGGTTATGAATTCACTGCCTGATGTCTGAGGTTTTGGCCTAAACTCCATTCACGGTGGAGAGAAACTTATTATTTCAGATTTTCCACTATTTTCCCATCATCAACATTCCATATAAACTCAGAAGACTCGTGTTGGTTCACTGGTGGTTCTGGATAGTAAATAAAATGTCTATATTTGTGTTGTAGTCATGGCGACCCCTGGTTCCTATCACCACCACTGTAAAAACATCTGAACTATTTCACTCCAAACCACTCTGAGTCACTCTGTTTACATCTCACACAGTGAACTATGCAGAAATTTAGAAAAATCAGTTTCCCCTTTAATTCATATTTTCTAAGGCGAGGCTTTAAAGTGCTACACAATAGGATGTTATAACAACATTTAAAGAGAGAAAAAAAGCTGATCCACTAAAATAAGTCAATAAAGCACATTAAGACAATCTAAGACAACAGAAAACATCAACAATAAACACAACAAAACAAACCAGTTAAGCTCGTTACCTGTGATCACCAGTCGTGAAAGCTAAGGAATTAAAATGAGATTTAAGTCGTCTCTTTAAAATAGTCATGGAATCAGTGTGTCTGATGTCGACAAGGCTGTTCTAAAGTTTAGTGTCATGAGCAGCAAATCGCTGCTGTCGGAACAAAATATTGTATCTCCAAAATGGTAACTTTACAGGAGAAGGACAAAACATACTCTGCTTTTAATGTAAGTCAATGGAACCAGACTTTTTTCCAAGTCATTTTGGGTCGTTTCTTTTGGTCCATTCATCATGAAATTTACACACAATGTAAAAAGCAACAGGTATTTTCTCTTTATGTCAAAAACTGAAAAACGTCAAAAATGGAGATACGAGGTTCCAACAGCAGCAAATGCTTCAGTTTTGTTCCTGGAACCGCTAAAAGTCCTCAATTAGAGTTGAACCAAGTAAAAAAAACTCCCTAAGAGCCCAAAGAAGAACCACTGAGGGGAACCAAAACTCGAAAGGGGAATCCATCCTCCTCTGGACCACACTGGATAGCAAAACAATAACAATAATGAGTAATATTAACAAAGGACAAGATTTTACAATAATATAAAATATTGAATATTAACCAATAATAACTGCTGACTCCTGTTAGTGTGGAGAGGAATTCAGGCCTGATTGAAAAGCAACACACTACAACTCACTACAGTGGAAAAATGTGAAATGTACAATGGCGTTTTAGGGCCACTGTTAATAAAAATAAAAATAGTAGACTTTGAGAATAAAGTTGTAATATTATCTAGAACAAAGTTGTAATATTTCAAGAATAAAGTCGTGAGGCAAATACAAGTACCAAAAAAAGGTCAAGCGACATGAAAATAGTGCAGTAGAGGTTTTACTTTTCATTTAGGCTGAAGAAAAAAGAAGCAAACTTTGCACTTTACACTGTAATATTGCTGCAGCTCTTAGTTATGTTTATACTCACTGTGCTTTTAGACCTCATACCATTCAGTGCCTGCTCTCATGTAAATACAACAAATCTGTCTCATATGCCACGTAAATAGGCAAATAAATATACTTTTCTACTCTTATACTTTAACTTGTGTCCATTTTTATTTCTTTTTTTTATTGTCTGCATAGTATATGTAAGTTTATGTGCAATTATATGTCTTGCTACTGAAACACTGCAATTTCCCTCCGGGATCAATAATGTTCTATCTATCTATCTATCTATCTATCTATCTATCTATCATGTCTGCATCACTGTTTTACCGTTATGATTGCATTTCAATGAGGAAAATCTGTTTACTGTATAGTGGAAAGCAGTGTAGCTGTGCATTCACTGCATTTTAAAGTGGACTGTATTCAATTCTGACACCAATGTAGCTTTTCATTTTTAAAAAGCAAATCCTCATACACTGTTTTTCAGTAAAGAGGTTGAACGACATGGAAACAGTGAGATAGAGCGCTTGTTTTTCATTTTGGCTCGTATTCTGCGCGTCACTATGGAGCAGTAAATGTTGTGTACATTGCATTTCACGTTTGTCTGACTGCTTTTCAATCAGACCCAAATTCCTCCACAGCACAACCCAACTAAGACACTGAATGGTCGATATTTTCAGTGAAACTGTTCCTGAAAGGCAAAATGCCTCACATATCACTCTTAAAAAAGAAGTTCAAGGGTTTAGGTGAAGATATCGGTTCTATTTAGAACCATAAGTTCTGTATAGAATTATTTGTATGCATAAATTGTTCTTCGCATTCTGAAACGGTTCTTCAGATCAATGGAGAATGTGTTGTATATGGTTCTATATAGAACTAAAAGGGTTCTGTTACTGTTACGATGTTAAGCTTGTAAGAATAGAAGAACACTTTTTGGTGCTTTTTCAAAAAGGTTCCATACAGAACCATTTGTATGCTTAAATGGTTCTTTGCATGGTGAAATGGTTTTTCAGATTAATGGAGAATGTGTTTTATATGGTTCTATATAGCACCTTTTCAAAAATGGCTCTATAAAGCACTAAAAGGGTTCTGCTATTGTTATTATATTAATCCTGTAACAACAGAAGAACCCTTTTTGGTCATTTTTCAGAAATGTTCTATACAGAACCATTTGCATGCCTAAATGTTCTTTGCATGTTGACAAGGTTCTTTGAATTATTGGAAATGTGTTGTATATGGTTCTATATAGCACTAAAAGGGTTCTGTTACTATTACAATGTTAAGCTTGTAACAATAGAAGAACGCTTTTTGGTGCTTTCTCAAAAAAGGTTCTACACAGAACCATTTGCATGCTTAAATGGTTCTTTGCATGGTGAAATGGTTCTTCAAACTGGAGAATGTGTTGTATTTGGTTCTATATAGCACCTTTTCGAAAATGGCTCTATATAGCACCAAACAGGTTCTGTTACTGTTACGATGTTAAGCTTGTAACAATAGAAGAACCCTTTTTGGTGATTTTTCAAAAAAGGTTCTACACAGAACCATTTGCCTGCTTAGATGGTTCCTTGCATGTTGAAATGGTTCTTCAAATTGATGTAAATGTGTTGTATATGGTCCTACTTTGTAAAAAAGCACCCAAAAAAGTTCTTCTATTGTTATGATGCCAAGCTTGGTGCTACATGGAACCATTTTCAAAAAGAAACCACACGTTCTCCAACAATCTTAAGAACAGTTTCACCATCCAGAGAACCATTTAAGCATGCAAATGTTTTTATACAGAACTCATGGCTGTAAACAGAACCATTCCGTTCCCTAAAGAACCCTTGAAGAACCATCTTTTTGAAGAGAGTAGGCCAACAGTTGGAACAGGGAGCCACCAGGAAGTCTAGCACAAACAAACTGCGCATGTTCGTAAGGCGTTCAGAAAGATGGATGTGTCCGCCGTCGTTGTAAAACGGTAAGCTAATTCCACCCGGTTTGGTCCTTTAACGCGTTCTAGGGAGTAAACGACGGAGAACCGTGTGCGGAGGAGTTTGTCGTGGACCGGCGGAGAGCGGCTGAACGTATAGCTCCGGACGCAGCCCACCGGAATGGCGGAGCAACGTCGCCGTAGCGCTGTTGTTGGTGTACGTGCCGCCGCACAGGGAGACGTCATTTCGAGGCGTAAAAAGCGGCACATCGCCCCGAAACGCACGTATTTACACGGTCCAGCGGAACCACGCACGGCAAACGAACCGCCGCCAGCTGCCCAGAGTCCCGCCGCGGACGAACACACCCGCCCGAAACCGCGAAACCGTTTATTTTTGTTTTCTTTGCGCTTTTAGCTTAGCATGCTAACTAGCTAAGTTAGCTTATCACAGAACGGAACGTAATGACGAAGCTGCAGTCAGCGTCCTATTCGAATTTCCCCGGTCCACCTTAAGTTAAATGACTTAACTTAGTTACATTCTCGCGTCTGGCGAATTCCCCGGTTCCACCTTAAACGGTGCGGCATTTACAAGTTTGCCGCCTGGCGAATTTTCCCGTTCTGCCTTAAATCGTGCAGCAGTTACGTTCTGGCGCCTGGTGAATTTTTCCGGTCCACCTTAAAAGGTGCTGCGACATTTAATGTGGAACGGACAAGAAAATAACAATGATGTAACCTGCAGCGTTTAAGGTGGAACGGGGAAAGTTCTACGAAAGATAAATGCGCCAGAACGTAATTGCTGCGTGATTTAAGGTGGAACGGGAAACTTCGAACGAGAAAACAAAACATAAAAATAAAGGCGCCAGAATGTAACTGCTGCAGCGCTTAAGGTGGAACAGGAAACGTCAAAATACAAAGTTTTAATGTACTTTTAGTTTACATTGCAGAATTATAACAGAGCAGGACGTCAACACTTATAATAGCACATAAGCTAGCGGAGCTAAAGCGAGCTAAACACGGCTTGTAGTTACTGAAGCAGGTAGCTGGCTAAGTTAAAGGGGAAGTCCACCGAGTTGTAAACAAACCTGCATAAATAAGTGCTTGAGGTGTAAACATGGTCATCCAGAGTGATCTGCTCTAAAATGCTTCATTCAAGAGAAACTTGCCGAGTCTGAATGATTCGCAGTGGTGGTGATGGGAACCAGACGTCTACTGACTCTTAAAGGGGAATTCCGCCGCTTTTTCAAAATCTCTGCATAATTAAATGGTTTAGATGCAAGCAGAGTCGTTCAGAGTGGATTGATATGAAATGCTTCGTTCTAGAGAAACTTTCAAAGACAGAATTGTTCACAGTGGTGGTGATAGGAACCAGACGTCCACCTCTAAAAGCTGCTTTACAGAAAGTTACTACATGAAATGGTTATGAATATGATTTTTTAAAAAGCCATTCGTGGTGGAGGGGTACATGTATGGTGTTATGAGGCAAAATAGCTCCCAAAATACTTACTTTTCTGGATTCACCACTATGTTGCCATTATCAGCAACACAAACATACCAGAAGACGTGTAGTTTCACTACGATGGCGTTTTAGGGCCACTGTTAATAAAAATAAAAATAGACTTCGAGAAAAAAAGTCGTAATATTTGGAGGATAAAGTGGGCTAACTGTAGGGGGCTGCCATAACGCGTTGGGGTCTCGGTTGCTGCACTGGCGCCGGAGCTCCACTCACTCCTGTCTCTCTGTGGATCATTTTGATCATCATTCTCACTGTCTGTGAAACTTCATGCCCTCTTTGAATGGGGGAGATGTAGCCCCCGATAGCCGTGTAGACGACCCTGCCTGAGATTCTCCTTCAACAAAACAGACGGACTCGAAGGAAACTTGTCTGTCTGTTTTGTTGAAGGAGAATCGCAGGCAGGGTCGTCTACACGGCTCTTTATTCTAGATAAACACAGTTTCCTGCTCAGCCGTTTCAGCCGGTTCTTATCCTAATAACAGGCTGGTGCTGATGAGCAGGAGAGACAGGGAGACTGAGTGTTTCTTTATGGGTGAATCGATATGAAAGTAGAACTCCACCAACTCACCGTCCCTCATTTAACACGAGGAGGTGCTGCCTTCAGTTTGCAAAGACTTTGGCCACAATATTGACCTTTCCTGGTATTAATGCCACGTTAATGTCGTAATTCTATGAGTTTTTATTCTTAAAATATTACAACTTTTTTCTCAAAATATTATGATTTTTTTTCTTGAAATATTACGACTTTTTTCTCGAAGTCTACTATTTTTATTCTTATTAACAGTGGCCCTAAAATTCCGTCGTAGTCCACTGGTGGTTTTGAATAGTAAATAAAGTGACACTGTGACTCTACAATGAATCATTTCACATCAAACCACGCTGAATGAGTTTGTTTACATCCAAATGACTGAATTATACAGAAACTTTGAAAAATTGGTGGAATTCACCTTTAAGACTTAAAGTTATTATTTGAAAATGGTTACTGATGCCTGAGATTTTGTTTTATGATACTTTTGTGATGGTTTTGGCCTAAAACTTCATTTTTAGACACATTTATTGTGGAGTGTGAGTTTTTTCTTAGATTTACCACAGTTTTACTGTTATCAGCATTACATAGAAGAACTTAAGACACGTGGTCTGGTCATTCTGGATAGTAAATAAAATGTCTGTGTTGTAGTCATGGTGACCCCTGGTTCCTATCACCACTGTAAAGACATCTGAATTTCTCTGCAGTGAATGATTTCACACCAGACCGTTTTAGGAAACACTGCAAAAATGGGATTTAAAGCTTATGGAATTTAATAATATAGTTTAGACAGTGTTTGATTCTTTAGCGTATTATTATGTTCCCCTACCCTGTATCTTCACTCACTATGTGTTTCCTTGGGTCCACTTACCATATAGGTGCACTTTTATGACTGTAGTCTGTGTCTCTGTATAGTTTTTAGTCCTCATTCATCAGAAATCAGAAAGAAAAGAAACGTATTGAATGAAAAAGTCACCCCGGTCAAATTCCATGTATTCATTAATTTTCTAAGAATAATTGAAACACATCCTCTACAAAAAAACAGTTCTCCACATTTTAATACACAATTACTGTTTATTTGCTGAATTTAACAAATTGGGAAAAATAAGACATAAAACGTTGCCTGTTTAAAAGTTATGGCACGTTTTATATTTCATGTTTTAGTTTTTTTCCCAATATGTTAAACAAAAAGTTTATTGTCTGTAAAGGATGTTTTTCATTCACATATTTTCACTTCAAAACATGTCATTTGACCAGGGTGTTCACAGATACAGATGTAGTTTACTTCACATCACAGTTTAGGCTTTATCTGTTTCTCTGATACTTTGTTAGCCCCCTTTTACCCTGTTCTTCAGTGGTCAGGACCCCCATAGACCCTCACAGAGTAGGTACTGTTTGGGTGGTGGGTCATTCTCAGCACTGCAGTAACACTGACGTGGTGGTGGTGTGTTAGTGTGTGTTGCGCTGGTCTGAGTGGATCAGACACAGCAGTGCTGCTGGAGTTTTTAAACACCTCAGTGTCGCTGCTGGACTAAGAATAGTCCACCAACCTTGTCCTGTGACCACTGATGAAGGACTAGAGGATGACCAACACAAACTGTGCAGCAGCAGATGAGCTATCGTCTCTGATTTTACATCTACAAGGTGGACTGACAAGGTAGGAGTGTCTAATAGAGTGGACAGTGAGTGGACACAGTGTTTAAAAACTCCAGCAGCGCTGCTATGTCTGATCCACTCGTACCAGCACAACACACCACCACCACGTCAGTGTTACTGGAGTGCTGAGAATGACCCACCACCCAAATAGTGCCTGCTCTGTGAGGGTCCATGGGGGTCCTGACCACTGAAGAACAGGGTAAAAGGGGGCTAACACAGTATCAGAGAAACAGATGGACTACAGTCTGTAACTGTAGAACTACAAAGTGCACCTATATAGTAAGTGGAGCTGATAAAATGGACAGTGAGCGTAGAAACAAGGAGGTGGTCAGAATGTTATGCCTGATCGGTGTAGATGGTGATATTGCCTGCATTATTGTATTGTACAGTCTTTCCTTCACTCAGTCTGCACCAAAACACTGATCACACAGAGCTCACTGCCCTCCTGTTCCTCATCTCCTTAAGCAGTGGTGCTGTTATAGTAATCTGCACTATATGGCCAGAAGTATGTGGACGTCCCCGTTTATTGACACCCATTGCTAGCAGTATAAAATCAAGCACATAGCCGTGCAACCTCTATAGCCAAAGACTGGCAGTAGAATGGGTCGTACTGAAGATCTCAGTGAAACATGTCACTGTCATAGGATGCCACCATCGCCACAAGTGAGTTCATGGAAATTCTGCCCTGCTAGAGCTGCCCCTGTCAACCGTAAGTGCTATTATTGTGAAATTGAAGTACCTGTGCAACAGCAGCTCAGCCACAGAGTGGTAGACCACACTCACGTTAATGTGGCATTATAGGGCATTGATATGGAGACACCCCAGCACCCCCAGTGTTTGCGGGTATAAGCGCCTCCACTTTTCTGGGAAGGGTTCCCACAAGATTTTGGGTATGTTTGTGGGAATTTGTGCCCATTTAGTCAAGAGAGCATTTGTGAGGTCAGGCACTGATGTTGGACAAGAAATTCTGGCACTTGAGGTCAGGGCTGTGTGCTGCCCACTGCACACGAAATTCCTCAAACCATGTCCTTATGGAGGTCGCTTGGAATGGTGGAAATTCCAACAGGAAAGGCTCTTCCCCAAACTGCTGGCACAATGTTTGAACCTATATATATATATATATATATATATATATATATATGCCCCAGCCCATTATCTATGTTTTTTACTTTTTTTATTATTATTAATTTTTTTTTAATATCTCTATAGTGACTTTTCTATTTACCATGTTTATATTGTTAACGCCTCACTATCCCATGTGTAATATAAACCAGTGCCTCATGCGCAAAACTCCATGTTAATTTTGGGCAAAATATCCTTACAGTGTAAATATCTTAGCTTTTTATTTATTTATAATTGTTTATAGTGTTAATTTTCTTTGTGAAGGATAGAGTTTATATTTTTATCTTATTTTTTTACTTTTAGTATTATATATATTGTCTATATAGTAACAAGTAACAGACTGTAAAAACCTTGTTAAGTAATTAACAAAGTTAATTACTTGCTTGTTAATTCTCTTCTTGTTACTTCTTTTCTTTTTGTTGAATGTCTTGCTCTCTCTCTGCTGCTGTAGCACTGAGAATTTCCCCATTGTGGGAGTAATTAGGGATTATCTTATCTCCTCCACCAAACTTTACTGTTGGCTCTGCATTCTGGTAGGTAACGTTCTCCTGACATCCACCAAACCCAGATTCATCATCAGACTGACAGATAGTGAATCTGATTCATCACTCCAGAGAACACGGTTCCACTGCTCCAGAGTCCAGAGGCGGTGCTTTACACCACTCCAGCCGACACTTGGCATTGCGCATAGTGATCTTATGCTTGTGTGCAGCTGCTCAGCCATGGAGACCCATTTCATGAAGATCCAGACAAACAGTTCTTGTGCTGATGTTGCTTCCAGAGGCAGTTTGGAAGTCAGTAGTGAGTGATGCAGCAGAGGAAAGGCGTTTTTTTATGTGATTCATGCTTCAATTCTCAGTTGCCCCATTCTGTTGGTTTGCGTAATCTACTGCTTCGTGGTTGAGCTGTTTTTTCTCCATTTCACAATAATAGCACTTACAGTTAACCAGAGCAGATCTATCAGGAACTTGTGGCAAAGGTGGCATCATCGTTCTCGCTCTCTCTCCCTTTATTTGAGCCCCTGAGCGACGTTTGCCTGAGTCGCCACATGGGAGCCACCAGAGCTGCTAGAGTCACCACCAGAGTTTCAACCACCATGGAGCTTCACGCTATACAGAGCTATGCAAATCTCACCTGCGTGAACTGATCCTCCTGCTGCTGCTGCTGCTGCATAAACTCAAGCTATCTAATTAACCATTGCTCCACCTGTTTTTCAGGTTTTGTAATCTAATATTTTATACTAACACTGTTTGCTATCCGGTGTCGACCAGAGGAGGATGGGTTCCCCTTTTGAGTCTTGGTTCCTCTCAAGGTTTCTTCCTGTTGCTCTTAGGGAGTTTTTCCTTGCCACTGTCGCCATTGGTGACGCTCATGGGGGCTCGGATCTGGATTTTTCTGTAAAGCTGCTTTGTGACAACATCTGTTGTAAAAAGCGCCATATAAATAAACTTTGACTTGACTTGACTTGACAGTGCCACTTTTAAAGTCACTGAGCTCTTCAGTTCGACCCCCTGCTGCCAGTGCTTGTCTGTCGAGACTGCAAGACTATGTGCTTGATTTAATACACCTGTTAGCAATGGGTGTGGCTGAAACGCCTGAACTCAATAATTAAGAGGGTTGTCCACGTATTTTTGGACGTACGGTGTAACAGTTTTCCCTCTGACACAGTCAGTAACTTATCCCCTGTGTGTTTCTAACCAGTGTGCTCTAGGAGCGGGACATGGCGGAGACGGAGGTGACCGTGTCTGTGGGGGACATGGTGGTGATGAAGGCTTCTGAGGAAGAGGAGGTGGGGGCTGACGATGCGAGCAAGACGCAAGTCATCCTACAGCTGCAGCCTATCACATCTGGGTGGGTCGTCTGGCACCAAACATCTAATGAGACCTTTTTCCTGTGTGACCAGATGTGACACAACCTCACATGAACCTAATAGAGTGCATTACGCTGTATATCCAAGATTTTCTAGGCCCCAGTGTATATTTGTAATGCGTTTCCATACATTAAAGGGCTCTTATCATGGAAAATTGTATTTCTCCCTTTTCCCCCTGCAGTAAAAGAGTTTGATGTAGTATATAAAGTTTGTTAAAGTTACCGTTCACTCCCCGGTACACACAGTCCATTAATGGAAAATAAGCTGTGAAAGCAGCTTGTTCTGTGTGTCACTAAGACCATTGCGACAGTACACGGATATTGCATATATCCGTGTACTCAATGTACAGCTGTTTAGCCCTGCCCTCTCTCTGGGGAGCCAAAGGAATGTTTAAGCCTGGACAGCTTTTTGAATGAGGCTCAGCCAATCAGAGCAAGAGCTCATTTACGTATATCAGTCTTAAAGGTACAGTAATGTAACGTCGCTTCTTTTAAAACCCGTACAGTTATAGGACAAATCAGCCTTACGCCAACAGCAAAGAACTGACCTCTGTTTGGATAATAGATTTTGGTAGGTAGGTAGATTATGTGTTAGTAGATGTCTGGAATCAGATTGTTGGTGTTGGTAGTACACTGAGGGTCTTAATACAGTGTCTGTCTGTATCTGCAGGGTTAGAGATGAAACGGGGGAGTCAGGTACAACAGTCGTGGCAGTGGAGACACAAGGTAAGCCAGTACTGAGCTTTTCTCAAATCATTATTACACAACTAAATGATATACTGACAGGTTTATACTTTGTGTGTGTGTGTGCGCATATATATATATATATATATATATATATATATATATTATTAACACTAAACAACTGCCCACAACTCTAATTTGTCTTTGTGCGAGGAATAGGACCAACCTTTATCACCACACAGCACCAAACAAAGAACGTTTTTTATTTATGTGTTAAAACATTTCGTTTTACTTTAATATACTTAGTGGGGTGGGCAATACAAAGATATTTATCGTTATTGTGATAAATTATGTCGTATTACATCATAGTTTGCCTTACTGAGTATATTAGAAAAATTTAAAGGAAAACACCTGGAAAATAAGAAAATTGATAAAACGTCCTGACATTGAGCCTCTAAGCCACCAGGATTTAGCATAACCTTAGCTGCTAATGTCCAATGTGAGTGTCCATTTTCCAAGTTTGAAAGTCTACAGTGCAGAACATTAACAGATACGTGGGCGCTGTGTTGGAACACCTGGTAGAGTGAAGCCAGATTAGCACAGCCTAGCTTCTTGCAGTTTTAATATTTTAGTGCAACTAAGTGTTTGTTGGAGGTTGTTGACTTTAATGTTCGGGATTTTGGCATTATTTTAAGATGAGCATCAGCTGTCATGTGTGTATGTCATGACAAAGTCCTAGAAAATGATCTCATAAAAGAACTGGGAACTCTGGCCGGGTATTTCCAGAAAGCTGGTATCTGCAGATTTAAGATCACTTGCTGAAACATAAGCAGACGGACAGTCAGTGAGGTCTGCTGGTGCTTTAAGGCCATTTAGAGCTTTAAATACAAATAAAAATACTTCCTTTCCTTCCTATCAATCCTTAAAGATGCAGGTTACTAGTGTAGTTCTTTCAAAAGTGGGAGATAAAAGATCTATCTTTTTGTTTTTGTTAGGATCTCTGATGTTGTAGAGGATGTGCTGCTTTTTGGGAAGCCAATTCAGAGCGTTATAGTAATAATTTCTGCTTGTAATAAATGCATGGCCAAGTTTTTCTGCATCTGGCATTGAAAAGGCTGAACTTTAGCAGTATTTAATAAGCAATAGAAAGCAACCTTAGTAACTATTTAAACAAGACGTAAAACAGAGATTAGAATCTAAAATTACTGCCCGGTTTTGTTCTTCAGATGTGATATATGATGCAAAAGGGCCTTATTTTATCATGAATCAGTCTTAGTAACAAGTATCAGTATCTCAGTTTTGTCCTGATTAAACTGCAAGCAATTATATTTTGTGACACCCACTGAGAAATAACGGACACACAATTAATTTGCCTGCTTTGACTTTGAGAGGGAACGCACATGCATAATTTCGCACCTCCGGTATAGCTGAGAAAATTTGTCATGTGAACCTGATCACATTTCTGCTAGGTAGCATGTACATTGAGAAAAGCAGCGGCCCTAAAACGGAACCCGGTGGGACTCCGAAGGAGATGCTAAGGTTTTTTGACGAATGATGTCCTTTGCAGATGAAGCTTTGGTGGCAGGAGATGATGTTGAACTGGGATATCCTATTACATGTGGAGAGAGCAAAGCCGTTCTTCTGTTCAAGAAATTCGTTTGCCCCGGAATCAATGTCAAATGCGTGAAGGTGAGCGTCTTTGGCTTAATTCTGATTAAAATAGCCTTTTAGGAAGCATGTCACAGCCAGCAGCCCTGCAGCTCATGCGGAAAGAACATTATTATGATTGCGGAAACTAATAATGAGTGTCATCACTCGAGAGTCTCATCAAATGAGATGTTAATATTCCGTCCGCATTCGGAGACTGGGGTAATAGCAATATTCAGTCCAATTTCCTTGAGCGGTGCTTAAGACGGCCTGTGAATCATTTCTCCTGGCAGCTCTGTTATGAGAAAAATGCACTAATTTTAGCATGTAATCCCTTAAAGTGACACTGCTTTGAGGATGGTTGCCACCTGCGTTGCTCCATGGATACACTTCTCTCTCTTTCTGTCTTCCAGTACGAGGACCAGTTAATCAGTCCTAAGCAGTTTGTTCACATGTCCGGCAAAGCCACTCTTAAAGACTGGAAACGGGCCATCAGAATGGGGGGAGTCATGCTCAGGTAAAGATTATTCACAGCTTGTTTACACCTGTTATTGAAAACAAAATGTTCCAGTAGAATGAGACACTCTGGAGCAGCCTGGGGTCACCTAAGGTGGGGTATAAAGCCCCCCCAGTATTGGGCTGTGGAGCAGTGGAGCTGCGTTCTCTGGAGTGATGGAGCTCCATCCAGTCCCTTTGGGATGAGTTGGAGTGACCCAGAACTGACCATCCAACATCAGTACCTGACCTCACTAATGCTCAATCAAATCCTCACAGCAATGTTCAACATCTAGAAGCCTTCCCAGAAGAGTAGAGGAAGGATGAGCTTTTTAATAAGCTGATTGATTGAATCCTCTGTGTCAATAGCAGAGAAAACTTCACAATGTAATCAAGAACTCATTTACATATTTAGGTCGTTCTCCATTTGGAGTGGGAATTCAGGTGGATACATTTTAAAAAATCTCTTTCTTTCATCCCAAAATTAAATCATCTTAATATGTCCATTATCATCTCCTATTATCAAATATGCAGAAAGGAGAGCTTAACTCAAACATATTCTACAGTGACTGGTGTTGTATGAATATGGTGTAACTCCAGTGATGGTGACTCCAGTGACGTTCTGGTTAAAATTGATTTTGTAGGATTTTGTAAATCGGCTGATTCGTTGACCGTCAGGTGACCTTGTGAACTATTTAAAATCAGAAATAAAATGATAAATGATATTATTTTGACAAAATTTTAATTACCCAGCTATTAAAGCACAAAACACCGGTAACACATAGAAGTTACGAGCTGCCTGATAAACAAAATTATTAATAAATTAATGAAACATAGTGAGCAAGTGTGACTCACCTTCTCAGGCCTTGAGATGCTTTCTCTCTAATGAGCCTCAACCCAAAAAAGCAGTTTAATAGAGCTGAAAATACTGTGTTAAAACATAAAATAAGAGTCCTGATAACACCAGCGATCACAATCTCTGTGGCAAACGAATTTTTAAAATAAAACACATTTTAAATGCAGTTTATCATTAATGGTATAAAAAGTAAACATGAATCTGTTTTATATAAATTCCTCAGTTAAACCTCTTAAAAATATTGTTTTATATTAAAAATGGTTTGAAAATTGGTTTTGTGACGAGCTGTTTTACAGATGCAGAGCAACTATGAAACAGGATAAAGTATGAAAAATCATAGAATCATCAATTTAATCTTAGGTCGACTGTGTAAATGCACATACTGAGTATAACTGGAGATTTTAAACACCTCAGTGTCACTGCTGGACTGAGAATAGTCCACCAACCAAAAATATCCAGCCAACAGCGTCCTGTGGGCAGCGTCCTCTGATGACCAACACTAACTGTGCAGCAGCAGATGAGCTATTGTCTCTGACTTTACATCTACAAGGTGGACTGACAAGGTAGGAGTGTCTAATAGAGTGGACAGTGAGTGGACACAGTGTTTAAAAGTGTTACTGCAGTGCTGAGAATGATCCACCACCCAAATAGTACCAGGGGGTCCTGACCACTGAAGAACAGGGTAAAAGGGGGCTAACAAAGTATCAGAGAAACAGATGGACTACAGTCTGTAACTGTAGAACTACAAAGTGCACCTATATAGTAAGTGTAGCTTATATAGTTTATAAATGGCTGAATGTTGGTGTATATTGTCTGTATTGTTTCTTCTCTTTCTCTGTCTAGGAAAATGATGGATTCAGGTCAGTTAGATTTCTATCAGCACAGCACTCTGTGCACCAACACCTGCCGCAGTACCAAATTCGACCTTCTTATCAACAACACGCGGTTCCCTCCGGACAGCAGCGTGCTCAGCACTCCTTCCACAACCCACGGTGAGTCTCTCTCACACACACACACACACACACACACACACACACACACACACATACACACACACTGCAGTGCTTATCAACTGGAAGCACATTGTTGCACATATCACTTACAAAACTTACACAATAAACTGTTCAGATCAAAGAAGAGTAAGTATTGTACACAGGTTTTAACTTGTGTGTTTTGGGAGGTCTTTGTGTTGCTCTATCATGCCTATTTGGTTTCCAGGGCAGGTTGCCATGGGTAACGGTGGGGAGGTCGTCATGGTGGAGGAGAAAGCCGAGGAAGCGACCGGCTCTTTGGATTGGAGTTCTGCTACTGTGGAAACTGTAGAGAAGAAGGAAGTAGCGGAGATATCTGGTGAGATGCTGATCCAACAGCTGAGAACAGTGGCTCCTAATCCCAACAGAGTCTGGCTGCAGACATGCACTCTCAGCCAGGTGCACTCTCAGCCAGGTGCACTCTCAGCCAGGTGCACTCTCAGCCAGGTGCACTCTCAGCCCCAGTGACGTCACGTGCACATGCACTCTGCCACGATGGCAGAAACAGCACAATAACTTTTGGCTGCTGCTACTTAGCGATGTCATCACTTAATCCATTTTTCGTCCATAACACGCCTACAGAGTTACATTTCATGCACCTCCCTGTTGAAAAAATTCATAGAACCCATTAAAAGTGCCTGCTGGTTCCTGATGGTTTTCAGTAGTCACTAATGGTCTTCTGTGTTTTCCTACTGGATTCATCTCGCAGTGTAAAGGATTCTGATCGTTTAATCGGGTGTTCAGGGGCTGATTCCAGATACATTTGATCGTTTTCTAATGATTTGTTTTTTTTTCTACCAATAAACCCATTATGTCTTATTTTCGTGGTAGGTTTTATTTTGAAAGTTTCTATATTTAATTCCGTTTATTCTCGGTATAACAACGTAAATATGTGTTCAGTGTAACTGTTGTTGCCGAACAGTACGCGGCTCGCTATTTCTCCTCATAAAACAGAGCGGCACTGACGTCATTAATAGTGCATGTCTGCAGCCAGACCCTTCTCCCTAGTCCTGGTCCTTTACACAGAGGATTCAATCAGTCACCTTATTAATAAGCTCATCCTTCCTCGACTCCTCTGGGAAGGCTTTACACTAGATGTTGGAACACTGCTGTGAGGATTTGATTGAGCATTAGTGAGGTCAGATGCTGATGTTGGATGGTCAGTTCTGGATCACTCCAACTCATCCCAAAGGTATTGGATGGAGCTCCATCACTCCAGAGAACACAGGTCCACTGCTCCACAGCCCAATGCTGGGGGGCTTTATACCCCTCTAGCTGGTGAGCATGGTGACCTTAGGCTGCTCCAGAGCATCCCATTTGACTGCTTAGTGCTTTTCTATGGAGTGTCTTCAAGCTGCCAGCAAAGGGTGCACCTTACAGTAGCTGAATTCACTCATTATAAGAGCTATCTGGATACTTTTGGATATATTAGTATACCTTTTGACTTTTATTGATTGGCTGAGCTGTTGACACCATAAATATAGGGCAAAAATGTGAGCTCCTTCAACTTGGTCAAAAAAACATTGAGTGCGTTTACATGCACTTAATAATCCAATAACTGCAGAGAATCAGATTTTGTCAGTAATCCGATCAACGCGTTTACGTGCACATATAATCAGATAATGGGGAAACTCTGGGTCTACATGAGTCAAGCAGCAATCAGATTTCTGCTTTACAACCAGCCAATAAACTCACAGAAGAAGACGAGACATAAACATAATGTAAACTGAAACTTCATGCTGCAGCTTTTTTTAAACATCGCGACACTTTACCTAAAAATATGAACACACATCATCTAGAAGATGAAAAATATTTAAATGTTTTATTTCGTGTTTGGTTTCAGCGCCGCTCCAAAAGTATCTTGCAGCGATGCTGCTCGCTTATTTCCGGTACCGCCGTCTGATCTCGCGCATGCGCAGACTGAGAAAACCGAAAGAAATCAGAGTAAGAGTTTACATGCGCTGAGAAATCTGATTACTGAGCTAAAATCCAGCCTCTTTATCGGATTTCTTAATCAGATTTCTAGATCGGAGTATGGTGTTTACATTACCATTTGAATAATCGGATAACTGCAGAAATCCGATTATGATCAGATTATTGAGTGCATATAAATGCACTCATTGTTCTCAAACTACAGTTCACACTGATGAAGCTGTTTTAAAACATTCTAAAACAGTCTGATTAGAGAAGACGAATAGATGGAAGGACATACAGACGACAGGCAGACTGAAGAGCTATCTTGATTGTGCCGGCTCAGTTATACTTGCTACCCAAAAAAAATATGTGAACATGTATTTTTATATATTTAAAATACATTTCGAACATATTGCAGTCGATGCTGAAATACACTCCAAACACTAAAATGTATTTCAGAATATTTGCCATATTAACCAATACATTTTAAAATGTATGTGGAAATATTACACACAGAAATGTTCCGTACAGAAATAACTGTATGTAAATGTTTTTATCAAATCCATTTGAAAATGTATGAAAATATCCAGAATCCTGTCTGATGCTCTTCACTGTCTGATACCTTTTAGAAATGAATTTGTGTTCCAGTATCTTCATTTTAAATCTGATCTAATGATCTTTATCAGGACAGAAGCGAGTGTTGTGGGTATTGATACTCTGTGAAAATGCAGTTATGATCTGATATCTTGTTTATGTGAAATACATTGTGTGTGAGAGTCTGACTGCAGACGTACATGGTTAATGTAAAGTACAGTGCTGTTCATTCAGCCCTATGAATATTACAAATAAATGCATTTTAAATATACATTTAAAAAAATATACTTTTTTGGCCATTTTCATACACAGCAAAAATATATTTGATAAATATATTTGGAATGTGTTTTTTTTTGCATATGGATATTTTAATAAAACATATGGATGTTTTGTTAAAGTTGTGTATGAAGGAGAAACCATATCAACCTCGCGATCAGTGAGGATATTGCTTCTGTACCTGAGACCCAAGGTTAGGACCCAGTTTACATTGAAAGAGGAGAATTTTGGCAAAATACGTCATACGCATTATTGGAAAATTATTCACAGGACATCACTGTGCATGCATTGTTTCCACAAGAGCAAGATTAACCTACTTAGAAAGAAACACAGATTTAGGTTCACTTGGGCCTTAAAAAACATTCAAAAACAATGGAATTTAAAGCAGTAGGGATTCTAAAAATACGTAGAACATTCATAAAGAATATTGGGATGAATTGCTGTGTGTTTGGGTGCGTGTGTTCATGTTTGTGCCTCTCTGCTGTTCAGAGGAGACGTTCAGCTTCTGGAAGGGCATTGCAGATGTGGGCCTCATGGGGGAGGTGGTCAGCAACATCCGTACAGAACTGCTGGAGCTGCTGAGGGGGGTGCAGCTCCGCTCTGACCAGGCGAACCTGCAGGACGCTGGTGAGTTCCAACGGTCAGCCGGACTGATCATGCTTTTACACTCATTTTATTAAAAATCATACAACCAGCCTTGTAAGTAAACCTGTGTTGAGCTTAAACTCTACAAAGACCAACAGAAAAGGATACAGTGGAGATAATAATAATAATAATAATAATAATTTTTAGAGCACTTTTCATACCAGTGGCAGCTCAAAGTGATAAAGCTTAACAGTAACAGAAGAAATGGTGAGTATTAAGTTACAGTCAAATAAGGCAGAAATGAAAAGATGAAGACCAAAAGAGCCGTGGAGTTTTAATGAAGTGCTGAGTTAAAGTTTTCAGATGTTTATTAAAAGTGAGCTCTGAGCTCGACTGTCTAATAAAAGCTGAACTGAGCTCCACAGTTTAGAAGCAGAATAACTGAAAGAGGCTCTCCACGTTTTCTGTGTTTTACTGAAGGTGTTCAGAAGGTCAGAATCTGCAGATCTAAGATCATAAACAGACGTTCAGGAGCTTTAAGGTCTTTTAGAGCTTTAAAAACCATCAGCAGAGCTTTAAACTCTCTCTAACAGATCCAGGCGGTCAGTGCAGTGTGTAACGGGGTGATATGAGCTCTCTGTGTTGGTGCTTTGAGGATCCGTGCTGCTGCGTTCTGTATGGGTTCTAGAGGATGGACTGTTTTCTCCAGTAAGAAGATCATTACAGTGATCAACTCTGCTGAACAAACACAGCAACGAGTTTCTCTGAGAGAGAAAAGGCTGAACTTCAGTCATTTTCTCATATGATAAAAAGCTGCTTTAGTGACTGTTTACATGCAGATTAAACAGAGCTCAGAGTCTAAAATCACACCCAGGTTTCTACTGCAGGTTTGGGATATGAAGATAAAGAGCAGAGATTCTCATAAAGCAGCTTTCTCTGAGTTTTCGTACCAATTATCAATATTTAATTTTTTTAATTTAGTAATAAATATGTGACACACAGCTGGTCAGTCTGGACAGACTTATGACATTTGTATGTTTTTGTGTATCAGAAACAGTCATCATTGGTTTATGAGTGGACATTTTCCAATCCGAATTAATCAAGTTTTGATGTTAGAGTTTTTGTTACTGCTATAATGGTATATGCAAATGAGCTCTGATTCTGATTGGCTGCCCTGTAGCAGTCCAGGCTGAAACACTCCTTATAACTTCAGTGTAATTAGGTGGGGCTAAACTGCTGTAGGAGTAAGATATAGAAATCCGATCAAGAAATCCGAAGAGGCTGGATTTGAGCTCAGTAATCAGATTTCTCAGTGGACTCTTACTCTGATTTCTTTCGGGTTTCTTGGTCAGTGCATGTGAATATTCTTCATTTTCTAGATCAGGGTTATTTAATTAAAATTCAGTAAGGCCCAGTTAAAGAAAATTTCCTCAAGCAAAGTCCAGAACATCATAATGTCTACATCATGATTCAGTGCCATATACTGTTTACTGAAGTAGCCTAGTAGGTATATCAACATCTTATACAGTCAACAACTGAATGTCAAATCAAATAAAGTACAGTTCAGTCATATTTCAACAACATTTATCATCAGTTTTCTCTTTTTAGATCACAACATGTGAAATAACTTCCCTCTGACTCACTTTCTTCTCTGACTGCTGTCTCGCCTCGTCCCTCCCCTGTGTGTGCGTCACTCACTCGAGTCTCAGTGCTCATCGTAATGCACAGATCTGATTGGCGTAGCGTGACGTGTGATATTTACAACGCATGTGATTGGTCTGTGAGTCTCCCGGGCCATTAAAGTGGTACCATAAAGGCTAGAAAAGTTACGCCCATTAAAACAGGACCACCCCGTCAAAATTAAATAATTGTCCATAGTTTATCGGTTATGGGTCCAGGTCTGCATAGGACAGCGTCTGGATCCGGACTTGGACTGCGGTCCGCCTATTAGTGACCTCTGTTCTAGATGATGTATGTTCATAGTTTCAAGTAAAGTGGCGCGATGTTTTTTTAAAAAAAGAAGTTTGATTTTTTACATTATGTTCACGTCACGTCCTCTTCTGTGAGTTTATTGGCTGGCTGTAAAGCAGAAATATGATTACTGCCTGACTCATGTAGACCTGCAGTTTTCCCCATTATCTGATTACTCAAGTGCATGTAAATCACTGACAAAATCTGATTTTCTGCTGTTATCAGATTATTTGGTGCATGTAAACACACTCAGTGTTTACATACTACATAAAACTACCAAAATTTTCTTTACTGTGCTTTTGGCCCTTTATTAGTGTATGTTTTGAGATATTAAATTTAGGAACATTTCTCTTGCATAAGCTGTGCTGGTGACTGGGTTGTGATGCTAATTGTAAAGGGTTTATGTATGTTAATGTTTGCAGAAGTGGCCGTTCTGAGTAACCTCGCCCAGGTGTTTGGCCTGCTGGACTCCATCAAACGCATCCTGAGTGTTCGACGACAAATGACCGATCCAGGAGAGAAGCACGTCCTCAAAGCCCTGACCAGTGAGTCCTGACAGAGAGAGATGTGGTGTAAACTCAATGTTAAAGCATGTTTGATCTCTTGTTTATCGGTTATGTACTGCAGAACCCTAACCTTAAAACATTGCTGTGAAGTGTAAGTAATGACTTGAGGCCTGAAACATCCTTCCATCTAACCAGACTAGGTTTGTGGGCTGTCAAATAGCATTAGCCAAACAGTAGAGAAAGGGCAACTACATGATGGTGCATTACATTCTGGGTAGCGGTCGCCATATTTTAGGATACGCGTCTTAAAACACAAATCAACAGAGAAAAAACACGGATGGACCGGGCGAAGGTCAAGTGCACGATTCCTTACTGGGAGAAGCTGAACAAGGAAGCAAAGGAGCACTATTTTGAGAAAATAAAGGAAATTAACAGACTTGATCCATACAAACACAACAAGTGGACGGATGATCTTTCCAGATTCCAACATTTCCAGATGTGTTTTCCTGTCTTGGTTGTGGTTTGAGCACTTACACATACCAATACTTGAAAGTTACACGGCCACTTTACTTCTTCTACTTGTTTTATATGCACTTCAGGGTGGTTTGGTGTGAATTGCTGCATTCTAGAGAAACATGCCAAAGCAGAATTGTTCACAGAGGTGATGATATGAACCAGATGTCAGAAGAGTTCGACCTGAGCTCCACTGTTTTGCTTCCAAGCTGGAAAGCTGAAAAACGCGGTCCATTTGCAATACGGTTTCCACACCGGTCATGAGGACGATTATGGCAGTTGATAATACATTAAGCGTTCACTATTTCGCCGTGTTCAGTGGACACTGAATAAAGTAGTGGTTCTTGCGCTTTCTAACTTTTAATGGGTTTTAGAAAGTAACTTAGACGTAAAGTAACAAGTAGTGAAATTTCTTTTAAGCAATAGAGCCCGAGAGGGAGTGTGTTATCGCGAAATAACATCACGGCTGTGATTTGGTCGCCGTAGATCATCACAGCCGTGATGTTATTGGCGATAACACACTCCTCGAGTGTTCTATTGCTTTAATACAACAGTTAAATAAATACAGTAATAAATTAATAAACTGGGCCGTGAACGCGGCGTTTAATATGTTTTAATGTTCGCAGTTCCTTCACCAAATTATAGTTCCTTAACGAGCAGCTCGTTGCTACGTCAGAGTAACGAGCTCCGCCCACTCGCTGCACAGCCGGCAGTTCGTTCTCCAGCTCCTTACACTAAATTCCCAAACTGTCATCACCACTGAGCAGCTTTTCAGTCGGCAGCTGTGACAGAAGAACAGCTGAACAACCTGGAATCAGCCAGAAATGAACCCAATACCATTCGCCAAACGTGTAGTCTGATCTTCAGAGTCTGACCAAATCAGACTGAGCCATAAAACTGCCGCAATATCAAGTTCAGCTCAGTTTTGTCAGTTTTTGCCAGATCAGTATTAATGTTGTTTTGTTCCAGCCAGTCTGTAAAGCATCTTACAGCCCATTTAGTTTGGCGAATGGTGTTGGGTTCATTTCTGGCTGATTCCAGGTTGTTCAGCTGTTCTTCTGTCACAGCTGCCGACTGAAAAGCTGCTCAGTGGTGATGACAGTTTGGGAATTTAGTGTCGTCTCATCTTCAGAGTCTGACCAAATCGGCTGTCGGTCAAATGTGATCTTAAAAGTGTCCATTTTCTGTTTGTGGCAAAGTAAGAAGTAAAAATGTTCAAATGTCTTGAGCGTCTCCTACAGCTGTCAAAGTCGTTGCTTAGCAACGGCGTCTCAGCAAAGTAATACAGTGTTTGTGAAAAAAAAAAAACGTGATGTTATGGCGAAATAACAGCACAGTTAGAACGCCTCTCAACCAATCAGCTTGCGTGGCCGGAAATAACTGTTGTATAATTCCCATTAAGTAATAGGTAAAGTGATTCCATTCACTTACAAGGATGACGGAGTTCGAAAAAGGTCTTCTCTGTGGTTCTTAATGGATGTGAAAGCTGGACAGTAAACAAGCGAGACAGGACCAGCCATTCAGAAGCATGAAGACCCAAACAGAAGACAGGATGTTCTGGAGTAAAACTGTCCATATGGTCGTCAGCAGTTGGAAACAACATTGGCAGCATTTAGTAATACAATAATAATAATAATAATAATAATAATAATTGCACACTGCAAAAAAAAATACTGTGGGAAATGCACTGATCTTGAGTCTAGTCAATATATGTAATATTCATCATAATGAAGATGTTAGAGCGGGAGTGTTCTTTAAGCAGTTGAACACTCAGGGTCATGTGTTTTCACGCATAACATCACAGTCTCGATTATCGATTCACCTTCAGCTCATGCCTGACTGAATCAGAGCCTCCAGTGTTCTTTTACTTTTGTACAACAGTTCTGCCAAATTCAGCTCTGCTGCTGGAGGATATGTGGAGAAACTGTGGTCCATCATGCTCATGTTTTCTGGTCTTGTTCCTCTATGCAGACTTTCTGGAAGTGTTAATAATCATTTCAGGAATCCTGGGTTTTGGTATTAGTACAACATTCACACCCCTCTATCTTGGTCATATCCCTGAGGGGCCAAGTAAAGCTGATATTAACCTCCTAAAGATTTTGTAAGCTGCAAGTAAAAAAGCCATTTCTGAACACTGGCTCCAGCAAAATCCTCCTACTGTTGGCATCTTTGTCAACATTGTTAAACAGCTACACCAAATGTGCTTCCTTCTGCAATTCCTTCCGCCGCAAAAGCTAGAACCCTTTGGTGTTCTGGGATATAGCCATGAAGCTGTGTGAATATCAGGTTGAGCTCAGTGTTTGCAGTGTTTGTCCGAATGAAGCCGATTGTGGTTTTGCTCCAGTCAGTCTGTAAAGAGTTTCACAGCCCGTCTTTTTTGCTAAATTGTGTTCTGTTGGTTTCTGGCTGATTCCAGTTTGTTTAGTTTTTCGGCTGCCGAGCAAAAACCTTGAAAAGGATCAAACGATAGGTTTGGAATTTGATGTAGTTCTGCGGTCACTCTCTTCTTCGGAATCTGACCAAATGAGCCACAGGTCAAAGTATCTTATAGACATTATCTAATATGTCCATTTTCTATTTTTGTATTGTACAGTTATTGTGAAAAACTTTTAAAACGCTTTTATTTGGGACCAAACGTTCCTCAACCAATCAGGTTGTGCCATCAGGTAATATTGCAGCAAAGCAATATTACCTACTTATTATTAATGCAATAGACTATTGGATTTTTTTCTTTATTTACCTCGTATACTGCCTGTCTGTCATTATTATTATTATTATTATTATTATTATTATACCTCTTTTTTGTGTGGCTTGTCTTGCTTTATTTGTTTGCCTCATGTACTGTCTGTCTTTTGTCAGGTTTTTTTTTTGTGGCTTGTCTTGTCTTAACTTATTTGTCTGTCTCTTGTACTTGTATCTATTTGTTGTTAATTAAAAAAAAAGGTTGTGCCATCAGGACTAACTGCGGTACCACCCTTTTATAGTGAAAATGTCTTACTCCATTGGCAGCTTTGCTTGTTATAAGCAAACATATCTGCCACTGGAAATGGATCATTTAACTAGCTATTGCTTAAAATGTTTATAAATAGTTTAAATAATCTTATATTCTTCATACATCAGTCTCAGAATGAGAAATATCAGATACATTAACTACATTTGAGAAGAATTCTCTTGCTGAGACACCCTGTTCTGCAGCGAGAGGAGTAGTCTTTTGAGTACCTGTTCCGACCAGCACTGGTGGTCAGTAAAGTTATGTGTGTTGTGTTTGTTGTGTTTGTTTTTAGGTTTAGAGCAGCAGCTGGAGGAGCAGAAGAAGCAGCAGAGCTGGTTGTCTCAGTCTCAGGCCCTCAGCAGCCTGCTGGCGCCCTCCTCTCCCCCAGCCAAACGCACCCCCAAACGCCCCCGGCTCCAGCGGCCCGCCTCCACCACCCTGCTGGGCTCCACCGTGGCCCAGCCTGTGACCCTCCAGCCCCAGCAGTTCACTGTGCTCTCCCCGATAGCCCTGCCTTCCGTCGGACAGCCCTTCACCGTGGCCGGCTTGGCTCAGCCGCCCACCGCGGTCACTCTGCACGCCCTTCCTGTGGGCTCGCAGGTAAGGATGCACTGTACTCAAGGAAAAGTACTGATACTTGGGTAAAAGTAAACATACCTTCCCAAAAAACTACTTGAGTAGAGGTACAAAGGTATCAAGTCAAAAAAAAGTTATTAGTAACTAAATATGAATGGCTAAAATGTTACTGAGTAAAAAGTAGATTCCCTTAATCACTAGTATACTTGAGTAGAAGGCCCAGTCCCATTTCACCCCGCGCCCCTACCACTTAGCCCTAAAACTGCTGCACCATTTAGGGTGAAACAGGAATGTTCAAACAAGAATCTGGTGAATATCTGACTTCAGCTTCATATCACTGAAGAATTAGTGCTGGATGATAATAAATAATTGCCCCCTCTTTGAAGATCATATGATTCCCTAAATGTAACTAAAGCCCAGCAGTGAGGAGCTGAACTTTACCCTCCTCTGCTGTCACTGCAGACTGGCAGGGTCGCCTAAATAGCAGCGCTGGTAGCTGTTAATGAAGTAATGCTGTTTTTATTTGAGGGTCCCATTTCAGAGGGAAGATTTCGACCACCACCCCTTGGAACTCAGTTCCACGGGGCAAGGAGACACTCAAAAACAAGGGGTAGGAGTGAAAATAAAAAATGGGACTGGGCCAAAATAAAAGCATTGTGATTTGAAAATACTCAGAGTACAAATCCATCAGTATTTCAGTACATGTACTTCAGTAAATGTAACTAGTTAATGCCGACCTCTGCTGACAGGGAACTGGGATATGGGATCCGTCAGGAAGATAAGTGATAATTAACACATTGTTGTGGCCAATACAGACAGTAATTTTACTTTTTTACATTTTGAAATATCAGTCAATCAATCAACATTGAGGGTGACCCTGATTTACAATGTTGCCGAGTTGATACACGAAAAGGGATTGATAATGTTAAGAACATATCAAATAATAAAAGTAAATTTAATTAAAAATGACTCAAATCAAGTAAGTAAAAAAGAAACATTAATAATAAAAATACAGTAGGAAATATAAAACAATAATTAAAACATAGCTAAAATGTAAAACTTAATAAAATCAAATCAAAATAAAATTAAAGGAGAATAAGAACAAAAAGTAAACTAAAAATGATTTAAAATGACTAAAATAATAATAAAATAATAATAATTAAAATAAGAATAAGAATATAAATAATAATAAATGAATAAATACATAATAAAATATTAAAAATATAATAATAATAGTAAAAAATCAGGTAAAACAGTGTGATGCAGAGTGGAGGTGGTTAGAGAGTAAGAGTTTAAATGACTGAGTGAGCTGAGCTGTAGTGGTTCCTGTAGTGAGGGTCCAGTTCGCTGGTGCTGTTACTAAAGGCTGATTTTCCCAGTTCAGTAAAAACCCTCGGTACCTGGCATGTGATCCAACCGCTATAGTGAGTCTGATAAATACCATTATTTATAGACATCATTGAAGTAATATATTCTGGCATACAGCCGGAGAGTGTTTTCTAAATAAAAATAAACCATTTAAAGTCTGGAATCACTTGTCATTAATATTTATGTAATTTAATTCATTAAAAAGTATACAGTGTAGATTGAAACACTATTATGCAACTGAAAGTTGTTTCTTCTTAAAATGATGAACATTAAAGTGACTTGTGCTCCCCCTGCTGGAGAAACGTCAGTCTGCTAGACAGGAGTTCCCAAGCCACATCCACACGCACATTAATGCTTACATATTAAATTATGAGGTTGCAGTGAGTGGAGGCACTCGGGAACTCGGCTTTAGATGCCGTTTGGAAACCATGAAGTATTATATTTTCATAAGTTCACAACTTTTAATATTTGGTATTACTTAACAAGCTGTTTAAAATCAAATAAATCCTCTAGTTTTCTTTCCCAACATGATGAATATAATCTAGTAGAATCATCTGCATTATTGTGTTTATTCAAAACATAAATAAAATCTCAAATTATATATAAAAGAACCATTTCTTTCTCGCTTGTTTCGTCCGAGCGTGTCCTGTGTCTCCGTTTTGCAAGTTTTAGTTTTATTGTTTGAGCTTTACATTGTGTGAGATTTTCACGGTATATGGATTATTAGAAATGCTCCAAAATTATTCGGAATAAAACCTCTTTAAATGACATTGACTTACATTAAAATGATTTGCTCTTTCTGGTAAAGTTACCATTTTGGAGATTCTTGTTTTTCTTTGTACAGCGACGATTTACATCATCATTATCAGCCTTAAGGCTAATCATAACTCATAATTAAAATTTCCCACAACTAATTCAAAGGTCTTCACGCGGATCGCCACCGACGGAAAAGGCGAGACCATCACACTCCACCCAGCGCAGGGGATCACGCTGCTGGGCACGACGGCGGTGCAGGACCCCGGCTGCACCATGGTCAGCCCCGTGGAGCTGGTGCGGCTGACCCAGGGCTCAGAGGACGAGAGCCAAGCTCACACCGCCACGGTCATCGAGATCGACCCGGCGCCGGTGGAGCACGGCGTGGGAGTCGTGGAGCTGCAGCTGGAAGCGGACGGCGCGGGAGGAGTGGAGGAGGCGACGCTGGCTGTGAAGGAGGGAGAAGGAGAGGAGGTGGTGCAGAGGGAGGAGGTGCACGGCCAGACGGAGGAGCTGCAGCTGGAAGCCAACGGACAGATTCACAACCTACAGATATTAGTAGTAGAGGAGGAGCAGACACACGAGGAGGGCAAATCCAAATGAGAGAGACTGATTAACCCACACAGAGCAGAAAGATTTTGGCAGGTAAAATCATCTTAAATCGAGGAATTCAGTCAATAATATCTCATATTTCTCATTATAAGACTATTCAGCCTACTAAAATTTGCTTATTTGAATAAATAATGTATAAAAGAAGCTAAATTATCTGTGAAATAGGATTATTTCGCAGCTTAAAGGGCCCATATCAAATGAAAAACAAAGGGTTATATGGAAATTAAGCTGCATTGTTTCTGTGATGTCACAAAAAAAACAACATATTTACACGTATCTGCCTATTCAGCGTTCAGCAAGTTGGATTGTTTCAAACCAGATTGCTTTGTCAAAGATCACAACAGAGCTCATTTACATATCAGTCTTAAAGGCACAGCAACTAAAACAGCCTGTTTAATTCTAAGGGATGGAGAAATTGAATTATGACTTTTTAGTACATAAACCAATTAAAATATTATAGGTGGACCATAAAAACATGCAATATGGGCCCTTTAAGTTGACTTAAAACAAGCAACAATAAGTTATATTATAATAATAATCCATAATAATTAAGTTTCATGAGAAATATTAGATGGTTAGACTAGGTTCAAGATGATTTCATCAGCATTTTCTGCAGCGCACACACACTCACTCATGCACACTGACCCCTGAGACGGTCAGAGATGCCGTTTGCACTTCGCAGCCAAGTCTGTTTTTTCTTTTTTGTATTTTTTTTGTTTTGTTTTCTTTTTTTGTACCTACTTTCCTAAAAGTGGTCCGCATGACCAAGTATGAAAAAGATGTAACTGCTTTTGTACGAGCAAGTCCAGTATTACATTTTGACCTTCAGAGGGCGCTAGTGAGTTTTGTTATGCTTTTGTAAAAGAATTCAGTATTTTTGTTTTCCCTTTTGGTGGATCGCAGACGAGCAGATCAGGCACTGTCCTTTCCTTACGGTGGTGCCAAAATGCAGGACCGAAACTATGATGTACCTGAAACTGTCGCTTAAAGCCAAGATGTGGACACTCGTCAAAAAATATTAGGACTGTTATTTGTACTGAGACTCAGCATCTTAGTTCCTGGACTGAGCTGACTTACCTGAGCTCCACCCTCAAATTGAGTGATGCACTGGGAGGCTCGTTTAACCTAATGAGAAACTGCAGCACTTTATCTCTTCTGTCACAACACAGATTTCCCAAATTGGACCGTTACAGTCAGAGACGGCTCCGATCTGATTACGGATATCGGATATCAGCAGAAAATGCTGCACTGAATGTGACAAACGAACAAAATCAATCCAGTTCTGTAACAAATCCATCCTGAACAAATACTCACTTGTACTTAGCGGTGCAGCTTAAAGGGCCAAAGTCAACAAAAATGATCATTATTATTTTATAAATAAGCTTTTGTAAACATCGATAATATTTCAAAACATACCAATCAGCCTCCAGGCTAAACAATCCATATATGGAAACTAAGCAGCAAAATTGGGCCTGTTTTTTTGTGATGTCAGGTTTACATATGTTTATGAAATATTATCTATCTATAAATATTATCTAACCATCAATAATTAATAATAAATATTATTATTATGTTTTGAAAAAATATTAATGTTTACAAACACATTTAAAAATAATAAAAATAATAATAATTTTTGTTTGCCATGTCATTCGCCTACAGCAGTTTAGCTCCGCCCCAGTCACACTGAAGTTATAAGGTGTGTTTCAGCCTAGTCTGCTCTTTGAATGAGGCACAGCCAATCAGAACAGAACTCATTTACATATATCACCCTTAAAGTCGTCCGAGATAAAGAGTGAAGTGCAAGAAAAATGTATATTTTCAGCTGCGGTGTTTGATAACGTTGAGTTTCCTGTTTAAAACGCGTCACTGCTGAGCTGGACTGTAAGGTTCTAGCTAAACATAACTACAGACTCACAAATGATGTTTCTTCAAGGATTCTTTCGTGAAGGAAATGGTTCTATACAGAATCATAAACAGTTAAAGAACTCTTTGCTTTAAATGGTTCTTTGCATCATGAAAGTGTTCTTTAGACTGATAGAGAATGTGCTGTAAATAGTTCTAAATAGAACCTTTTTTCGAAAAGCGTTCTGTACAGACCCAAAAATGGGTCTTATATTGATACAAGCTGGACATCGTAACAATAGCAGAACCCTTTTTGGTGCTATAGAACCCTTCTATATAGAACCATCGACAGCACATTCTCCATCAATCTGAAGAACTCTTTAATGATGCAGAGAACCATTTAGTCATGCAGAGGGTTCTTTGAGTGTTGATGGTTCTATTTCGGACCATTTTGTTTACCCTTAAAGCTCCATAGAACCATGGCCAGTCAAAGAACCCTTAGCATGATTAAAGTGTTGTTTGCATCATGAAGAGGTTCTTCAGATTGATGGAGAATTTGAATAAATGTGCTATAAATGGTTCTATATAGAACCTTTTTGAAAAGGGTTCTGTATAGCACCAAAAACGGTTCTTCTATTGTTACAAGTGTGACATTGAACCCGTTTGGGTGCCATATAGAACCCCTTTCAAAAAGGGCCATCTGCAGCACGTTCTCCATCAGTCTAAAGAACAATTTCATGATACAGAGAACCCTTTAGTAAGGATCATCTGTGTAGCTGTTAGTTAATTCAGTCTTTAATTAAGGTCTGCATGATTTGGAGATGTTGAAGCATAAGCAGCTGATATTACATGAAGTGTGACGGTATTTATCCATCACAGTGGACCAGAATATACTGGGGGGTCTGAGTATAGCCTGTGTGGGAGACCCTGAACTGAACTGCTCCAGTTTCTCATTAGACTAAAAGAGACTTTAACCCTGTTCATATTTTGACTGCTAAACAACCCTGATTCAGAGGATCCACTGACATTCAGACATTCTGGAGACAAGTGTATGTGTCTGATTCAGACACTGCAGAAAGTGGTGTCTTATGAAGTGAAATGGTCTTAAATCTAGTTGATATATCTCATATTTCTAATTTTGAGACTGTTGTATGAATACTATACAATTATTTAACTTATTTCTAGACTTTTTTACTCGTTTTAAGAAAAATTATCACTATATTGACAGAGAATTTTCCTGTTTTCAATCGTATTTCTTTAAAAAGCAAATTTATCTGCCCATATAGTGACCTAAGAGAAGTAAAACCTGTCTAGAAATAGGGTAAATAATCTAATAATACGGTTGCAACAACTTTAACCTGAGAAATATTAGATATAATTAAGTAGATTTAAGATAATTTCACTTGACAGGATCCTGTTTTTTGCAGTGTAGCATTTTTGTTCATCAGAGAGTCGACAATGGGCAGGACAATTAATATATACACTCTTAAAAAAGGTTCTTGAAGGGTTCTTTAGTAAAGACAGCGGTTCTATATAGAACCATGAACACTCAAAGAACCCTTTACATGCTAAAATGGTTCTTTACATGGTAAAGTGGTTCTTCAGATTGATGGAGAACGTGCTGAAGATATCAAGCTTGTGACAATAGAACAACCCTTTTGGAACCTTTTAGAAAAGGTTCTATATAGATCCATGTATAGCACATTCATGCACATTTTCCGTCAATCTGAGGAACCATTTCACCATGCAGAGAACCATTTAATCATGCAAATGGTTTTTTGAGTGTTCATGGTTCTATATAGAACCATTTTCTGTACTAAAGAACCCTTGAAGAAGCATCTTTTTTAAAGGTGTAGACTTACTGACTCGACTGCCGCCGTCTGTGAAATAAACACTTAAAGAACCCTTTGCATGATTAAGCGTTCTTTGCATGGTGAAATGGTTCTTCTGATTGATGGAGGTGGTTCTAAATAGAACCTTTTTGAAAAGGGTTCTGTATAGCACCAAAAAGGGTTCTTCCACTGTTATGATGTCAAGCTTGTATCAATAAAAGTACCCCTTTCAAAAAGGTTCTATATAGATTCATGTATAGCACATTCATGCACATTCTCCATTAATCTGAGGAACCATGTCACGATGCAAAGAACACTTTAATCACGCAAAGGGTTCTTTGAGTGTTGATGGTTCTATATAGAGCTATTTTCTTTACTAAAGAACCCTTAAAGAAGCATCTTTTTTAAAGCTGTAGACTTACTGACTCGACTGATGCCGTCTGCGTTTGAAATAGTGAAATAAACACTTAAAGAACCCTCTGCATGATTAAAGGGTTCTTTGCATCGTGAAATGGTTCTTCTGATTGATGGAGAATGTGCTGTAGAGGGATCTATGTGGAAAGATTTTTAAAAATGGTTCTATATAGCACCTGGTTCTTCTATTGTTATGATGTCAAGCTTGTATCAATAGAAGAACCCTTTGGGTGCTGTATAGAACCCTTTTCAAAAAGATTCTATATAGAACCATGTATAGAACATTCATGCACATTCTCCATCAATCTGAGGAACCATTTCACCATGCAAAGAACCATTTAATCATGCAAATGGTTCTTTGAGTGTTCATGGTTCTATATAGAACCATTTTCTTTACTAAAGAACCCTTGAAGAACCATTTTTTTTTAAGAGTGTAGACTTACTGACTCGACTGCCGCCGTCTGCTTTTGAAATAAACACTTAAAGAACCCTTTGCATGATTAAAGGGTTCTTTATATGGTGAAATTGTTCTCAGATTGATGGAGAATGTGCTGTAGAGGGATCTATGTGGAAACACTTTTAAAATGGTTCTATATAGCACCCAAAACGGTTCTTCTGTTGTTATCATGTCAAGCTTGTATCAATAGAAGAACCCTTTTGGTTCTTCTATTGATACAAGAATGTGCTTTTGAAAAGGGTCCTATACAGATAGGACCCTTTTCAAAAGCACGTTCTCCATCGGCACGTTCTCCGTCAATCTGAGGAACCATTTCATGATGCAAAGAACCCTTTAATCATGTAAATGGTTCTCCGAATGTTGATTTTCTTTACTAAAGAACCCTTGAACCATCTTGTTTAAGAGTGCAGACGTACTGACTCGACTGCCGCCATCTGCGTTTGAAACCCAGTGAAACCCTGTGCTATCCGCCCCTCTCTGTGTCTGGCGTGTGTACAGAACCGATTCAGGGTACCTGCACTGTTTAAACACGCGTGTTTTATCAGAACGTTATTGTAAATAGCAGCACAACATGAAGAACTGTGATAAGAGTTATTTTTAAGTGTAATGAAAGTGCTGAAATGGCTCCTGTGTTACTGTTTGGTATAAATGAGAGGCTGTATGAGAGGATCTGGGTTTTGTAGTTTTTTTCAGGTTCTGTGAAGCTGTTTTGGGCTGAGGGTGAGGAGGAAGTAGACTACAGTCATTAAGTTCCTAATGTTGACTCACAGTGAATCCCAAAACTTCATGACACAGATGTGTAACTTCTGAAATACTTTCTAAACATGCTTTTTAAAATATACTTTTAATTTATTGTGAGTAATATCGACTCTGCATTTATGGTCTCAACTTTTTTCACACGAGCAGTTCTTTTAGAAATGTCTCTTTTCTTTTCAGACTTCTCCCAAATCCAGTGTGTGAGGTGTAATCAAAGTGACTCAGAGTGGTTTGGTGTGAAATGGTTCATTTGTTTTTACAGTGGTGGTGATAGGAACCAGGGGTCGCCATGACTACAACACAAATATAGACATTTTATTTACTATCCAGAACCACCAGTGAACCTAATAATACGTTTTCTTTAGGGACTATTTTGCCTCACAACACCCTGCATGTATCCCTCCACCATGAATGGAGTTTAATGCCATAATCTTCTCAAAACTATCATAAAACAGTGTCTCAGTCATCAGGCATTGAATTAAAAAATAGGGGTCCTGCACTGTCTGATGTAGGACTAAATGGGTCCT